TGGGGTAACGGGGCCGTGGGGTGGCTGGCCCGGCACAGAGCCCCCCACAGCACAGCGAGGGGAGACCCCTGCCCTTGCCTCACCTCCCGGAGAGGATCCGTGTCCGGCTCACGGCGTGCACGTGTGCGTGCAGCTTCGCAGCCCTGCACCCAGCGGCACGGCCACTGCACGGGGCAGCTGTGCCATCGGGGCCGTGCAAGCCATGGGGCACGCTGCAGCGAGGCACAGGCACACGCCGCGCACGGGCTTGCACACCCGTGTGCGGCACGATGCGTGCACAGCCGTGCAGGGGTGCCGTGCGTTTGCTGCGAGCGTGCCCATGGCGGCACCGTGCGGGTAACAGGCCCGTGCCGTGCGCGTGCCCACGGGGGTGAGCGTGCCGCGTGTGCGCATGCAAAGGTCGGGCGCTGCAGCACACGCGTGCGGTGTGGCCGCTTCGGAAGGCACCTGGGGGAGTGTGTGCGCCCCGCAGGGAGCTGTGGCCTGGAAGCACCTGCATCCCCGCCGCCCTCGGGGTCACCCGCCGGCCCTATAGGGCCCGGGTGCTTGCTCCCCGTCACCGCAGCCACTTGGCTCCCCTTGTCCAGCCAGGAGGAGTGGGGGGGAGCTGGGAGCGGGGGGAGGACTTGCGAGAAGAGGGGCGCAGCTTCAGGAGGTGAGGGCACCCCTGCCCCGTGCCCAGCGCTCGGGCGAGGACGTGGTGTCCCCAGCTCTCCCCACGCAGCCGGGTATCCCAAAGCGTGCCGGGGGCTGGCCGCCTCCACCTGGCAGAGCCAGAGCAGGGCCCGAGGGGCAAGCAGGGTCCATAGCGGTGTGGGGTGAGCAGGGGGCAAGCGGGGGGCGAGCGGGGGGCGAGCAGGGGGCGAGCGGGGGCTGACCCTGCGCCTACCGGAGCCGTCCCTCTGCTGGGGGCCGCGGGCATGCCCCGGCTGGGCGCTGCGCCCCCGGAGCTCTCCCCGGGGCTCTCGGTGAAGCTCTCGGAGCCCCCCGGCGCGGTGCCGGTGCCCGGTTCTGCTCCCCACCCTCCAGCCCGGGAGCCCCGGTACCTGCACGGCGCTGCCGGCTGCGGGCAGCGACCGCGGTGCCGCGACCCCGACGGCTCCGGGGGGTGCCCGGGCATCGCTTTTCGGGGCTGGGGCTGGGAGCGGCAGCGGGGTCCGCGGCTCTTACCTGGGCCCGGCGGGCTGAGAGCCGGGAGGAGCCGGGAGGAGCCGGGAGCCGGTGCCGGTGCCGCGGCTGTCTCCGGAGCTGCGGCTGCCGCCCGCCTCCCGCCGCCGCCTCTGACTCTCCGCCAGCCCCATCCCGGAGGAGCCGCTCCGCCCCCGGCCCCCGCCCCGGCCCGGCCCCGGGCAGCGGCGCCCCGCGGGGCACAGATTTGGGCAGGGATGGCAGCACCGCAGCTCGGCCCCGGAGCCCCCCGGCCGCCCCCCGACCCGAGCACGGGGGTCCCGACCCCTGCCCCCGGGTGCCGCTGCCCCGTTGTGGCCCCGCGTTCCCCAGCTCTCAGCTCTGGGAGATGCTCCCCAGGTGGCCTCCTCCGAGCCGGGGTGCAGAGAGCTCCGGGGTGTTCACGTAGGGGTTCGGCTCCCCGCCAGCCTCCACCATTTGCCCAAATTCTTCCCGGATCTGTTCAGCCACCCAGCGTCCTGCTGTGCCACGTCCCCATCAATCCCACACTGGGAACCCCGCTGTCCCGGAGAGCCCTGAGACCCAGGGACAGGGACAAGGGTGATGGGGGTGACACAGGGACAGGCTTGGGGTGGCTGCTGGGGTGCTGACAGTCCCCACACTGCCCCAAGCCACCCGCTCACCGCCCCATGCCTCATTCCCCCACTGCTGCATTGCAGCAAGGTCAGCCCCATGCTGTCCCCCAGCCCCAGCAGTCCTGGTCCGGGAGGATAACAGGAATGGAAGGGATTCCTCCACAGCCAGGTCCTCCCTCAGGTCTCCTGCAGCATCAGGACCTGGCTCCTTCCAGCACCAGATGCACAATTGGAGCGGGGCACCAGCGGCAGGACGGTGCCTTGGGCAGGGGGACCCCGACACCAGCGGCCGTGGCGGGGCAGAGCCTGGGTGGAGATGTGCCAAGGGTGCTGCCCCTCAGCAGAGCTTCCACATCCCAGCCTTGGCACACGGGGCCTGGCACGAGGCTCACGCAGTGCCAGCACCCAGCACCAGCCACGTACCCCGTCCCCTCTGGCACCTCCCAGCTGCTGCTGCTCTGGCATTTCTGGAAGCAGGGGGAATGGCCGAGCCTCCCCGGCCCCCTTCTTCCTTGGGGTTAGGGGACAAGTGGTGTTAGGCTCTGCTGTCTGGCTCCAGCCCCCACAGAGCCTCAGCCAGGCATCAATATTTCAGGGGGCTTGGCTGTTTTGTAATAACCAGCAACAAAGATAAACACCGGGAAGAGCAATATTTTTCCATGTGGGCTGGAGGAGTTTAATATTTTATCACTCGGAGCACAAAATATTTATGAACAATCTCATGTCAATCACTGGCTGAGGACTAATCGTGACCTTTTGAAGCCAGGGAGGACACGTCTCAGCACGGGGGGGCAGCCAGGCCCCCTGCCCCTTGCCCTGTAGCCCTGGCGCCGGGCTGCATGCCCAGGGGCACCCCATGGCTGGCACCGGCACGCCTGGGGGTGCTGCCTGCACCCGGGTCCCGCTGGACAGCAAGGGCACGATGCAGGTGAGAGCGTGTGGCTAACACAGAGCAGCATGAAGGGATGATGGAGCCAGGAGGAGTCACAGCTTGGCCATGCCCCAGCCCTCCGAGCCATCGCTTCCCTCCCCATGGACCCGTCCCAGCTCCACGTGGCTGCTCTGGGCTTCCCTGCTCGGGGTGCAGCTGGCAGCAGCGGGGACGGTCCCCGCAGCCAGGACAGGGAGTGCAGGTGATCAGTGGGGCTGTGGGGTACTGCCAGAGCTCGGAGCATCCTCACGATGCCTGGCGTGGGCGTGTAGAGCAGCTGGGGGCAGCCCCTGCCCGGCAGGGACAGCAGGGCAGTGCGAGGCAGTCAGGAAAGCCACCGGCCAGCACAGAGGAAAAGCATCCACTTTATTATAGACCCCAAGAAGCACCCGTGGCAGGTCCAGGACAGTTTTATACCGGACATTTCCATTTTCAGCAAGGGAAAGAGAAGAGGGGAACAAAACCAACCAACCCTACTCATTGCTCTTTCGTGCTAGAGAACACACATCTGCGTGGCAGAGAGAAGCCGTGGGTGAGAGGGGCACCAGCAGAGAAGGGGAGGGACCTGCGCAGTCCCCCCCCTGGAGATGCCTGCGAAGAACTTGCAATGCACCTAGAGACACATGAACAGCAAACACATTTCGCTGCCCCGGCCCGCACCTACCCCGCGCACCCAAGCGCCGCAGGGGAACCACCAAGCCAGCAGCCCCTGAGCCACTCACACCCCCGTCCCACGAGGGCTACGGTCCCGGGAGGGCTCAGCGACTGGAATCTCGTGGCTGGAGAGGAAGGAGGTGGGAGAGGCAGCCGGCTGGCTCGGGTCCCCCCCCACAAAGGCCTTGGGGGGGGCCCAGGCCTCTGCTTTACTCTTCTCCTCGCTCAGCAGCAATGGGCTCCTTGGTCCACTTGTCTGAGACCTCCTGGCTTTCTGTGTAGGCCGTGACGGGCAGCAGCCCCGGAGCACCCTCCCCATCCCCAGCGCCCTCCAGGTCCAGCTCCTCGAAGGAGGAGCCGCTGGCTCCGGACTCGCTGTAGCTGTGCTCGCTGCGGTTGTCGGCCTCCTCCCGGCCCCGGCCGGCTGGGAAGGGCAGCAGGACCGAGGTGGCCACCGAGGTGTCTCTGCTGTCGGTCGTGGCCTCGATGCTGATGGTGCTGGCCTCGCTCATGGTGTCAGCCCCTGGAACGGAGAGAGAAGGGCGAGGCGTGAATGCTCTGGGGAGCAGAGGACGGGTGGGTGCCACAGCCTCCGAAGCCACCAGGAACTCGGAGTCCCCAGGCTGCAGCTTGCGGTCCTGTGGTTTGCCAAAAAGCCACAGGGCCCAGGCAGGCGCACAGCCCGCGATGGGATGGTGGCGGCCGCTTCCTTACGGCCAGACTGGAGCAGCTCCCTGACAGCAAAGCACAAAGCAGCTTGTGACAAGCCCAGCTGTGTGCCAGCCCCACATGCACCCCCAAATCTGCACCCAGGCAGGCCAACTGGTCCCAAGGGGACAGTGCAGCCCTGCTGCCTGCCCTGGGCACTGCGGTACGTCTCCGTCCTTCTTGCCCCGGGTTCTTCTTGCTGCTGGACGAGCCAGCCTGCCCCGTGTGCCCCAGGGAAGCGGTGGGGTGGAGGTGCTGTGCCCTGGGTACCCAAAGCCTTCGCCTCAGGGGGTGGCCCAGGGTGGCCACGAGCAGGACGGGGGAGCCTGGGGACGGGGAGCAGGCGCCCATGCGCCCCGTTCCACCGGCTCCCCCCGTGTCACCATCTCATTAGCTGGGCCACCAACACAATTAAAGAGTTGACAACGAGACAAGGGTGTCAGATTGAGACCGGCAGCTGAGTGCTGTTGCCAGAGCAACCAGCTGGGAGACAAAGCCGTCCTGTAAAACATTAATCATTGTTAATTATGACATCACAGATTCACGTTGTTAATTATGACAACAGCGGCGAGCGCTGGCCAGCAGCAGCCGCCCATCCCGCCAGCCGCCTGCGCCGCCCCCTGCTTCCCATCTTCACCCTCCTGCCCCTCAGTGGGCAGCAGCACGGCACCAGTGAGGGCACGGGGCCCTGGTCACTTGGCACAGAGGTCACCCAGCCCAGGGCAGGACCTGTCCCCATCATCCCGAGCCACCAGGGTGCCCAGTGCCAGCAGCAGGATGGGGACCGCACGGGGACATCGCGCGGTGCCACCCCGCAGAGGAGCCACGCGGGTGCCTTAAGCGGAGAAGCGATCCTTTTCGGTGAAAACCAGGGATAATTGGGGCCTAAAACGTGGAACTCCTGTTTTACATCGGTTATGTGCAATATTTCCTGGTGATTACTAACAGGAAAAGGGTGAGGGAGAAAGAGGGCTCCGGCTGCACTGAGTCCACCCCACGTCCCTCCTAAAACACCCGTCCTGCACCAAGGGGGGCAGTTTTGGCTGGGGGCTGTTGTGTACAGGCAGCCACCACACCGTGCCAGGAGACGGGCACTGGCTCGGGATGCTGGAGATGGATAAAGGCGACCTGGAGCTGCCGGCACTCTGCTACGAGCCCGCACCGCAGAAGACATCTGCCCTTGCCCCCAGCAGCCTCGTCCCAGCCCCGCTCCGAGGGCTACAATAAATAGCCACGCTTCCCTTCGGCCAGGCACTTTTTTTTCCCCGTTCTGTCACTTCTGATCATGTTGGAGTCGCCTCAGCTGGCACACCCGCCCGTTGCCCCTCCGCGCAGGATGGGGACGGCCCCGGCACGCGGGGCAAGGACAGGAACCCTCACGGGTAGGGAAGGGGCAGGAGACCTCAGGCCACGGTGTCCTCGGGTGGATCCCTGGGGCTGAGCAGGGACAGCATCCCCTGGGGTGTGAGGCATCGTGCAGGGGAGGCTTCCTCAGCTTGGGGACCAGCACACACGGCCCAGGCTGGAGGAATTCCTCTCCAGAGCGGGCTCAGGCCAGGCTTGGGGTGGGAAAAGCAGCCCTGAGACCCCAGCCAAGGCCACGTGCTGCAAAACTGCTGCTGCCTGTGCCAGGAGGCCGCTGGCAAGAGGCTGCTCTTGTTTGCCTCCCCGTCCACACACCGTGGCGGGGCCGTGCTGGAGAGCACAACCCCGGCGCTAAAGCCTCAGAAAATAATTAAGTAGAAGACAACTAATCGTGATTGACACTGGCCCCTGGAGAGCCATCAGCTGCCATCAAAAAATGCTTCCCGTCTTTCTGATGACCCTGATGATGGCAAAGAAGGGACAGAGCCACCGCAGAGGCGGCCGTGCTGCCCGGCTCCTTCCCCACGTGCGTGAACAGTCGCTGCTTTTGCCCCAAGCCAGAGGCAGCCGGCACTCTGCAGGATGAGCCCAAAGGTGAAGAAGGGCGAGGCGTCGGAGATTCACCTTCCCTGACTCCAAGGCCAGGCCGTGCACGTCCAAGAAAACGAACCGAAGCTTTTCTTGCACGTGCAAGTCGCTCACTGCAGAATGGCACCGGCCAAAAGGCGAGGGCAAGCAGCAGAGCCTGTGCTGCAGGACTGCTCCAGCCCCGGAGCAGCCACGTGGATCCAGCAGCGCCAGGCAGCACCGGGAGGCACCGAAAATCCCCAGATTCTCCCAGCTCCCCCAAACCCACGAGCAGGGTTGCTCCAGGCCCACATCTCAGAGGCTAGCCCTGCAGGAGCCACACACCTCAAGGAGCTTTGGGACACATCGGTTCTGTTGAGGGTGTGCGGAGAGGGGGCTGCAAACCCCGAGGGGCACCTGTGGGTTCGGTGCTGCCTAGGGAGCCAGCCAAGGGCTCGGCACGGCGCTGTGCACCGGGACGTGTTGGCACACGTGCAGCCGTGACCCCAGCACACAGCCAGCCCGGCACAGGGCTGCGGGCAGGTGCCGGGAGGACGTGGCACGTTTGGGGATGTGGCAAAGCTGGGCTGTGGCGCAGAGCAGTCACCGCAGCCACACCGCAGATGAAACAGCGGAGAGCAGGGAGAGTGCCCTGAAAATACCAGGACTCGAAGCGCTGGGAAGCCACTCCAATTAGGCTCTTAATTTCAGTGCTAAATGGACAGAGCTCTCGGAAAGCAATTCCCAGGCTTGCTTTTACGGCGAGCGCGATTAAGAATTTAAGTGATCCAAAACCGAAGACGTGTAAAAAAAATTACCAAACCGCCCCCGAGGTAGCGAGGCGTGCTCCGGTCATGTTTTTTTCATGCCCGTTAGGCACGGGTGGGGGCCCCGCCGAGGGCAGGAGCCCTCCCCACCCGCCCATCGCACGGCTCCGCATCTCGCAGCCATGTGAGCACGTGGGCCGAGCGCGGCAGCTAGCATTTCGGGTTACTATAGCACTGCTGTTCCGCGCCCACAGCGATTGTGGTCCCTTCCTGGATAAATACACTCAGGCTCCAACAGATCTCTCCAAGCAGATGCTAGCGGGCAACTCCGCCACCAGCTAGAGAAACCTGGTATTTAAGTTCTTCGCAATCCCAACATGTAACAGATGAAGATGAGCTCAAGAAAGATGTATGTGACAGGGAGAAAAACAAGCCCAGCTGCAACCGAAAGCTTCGGCACCCAGCTCTGCTTTCACAACTGCGGACTGGTGCCGGCCCCACGGTTGCACTGAGAGCAGCTCTGACCCCTGCCACGGGTGGCACCGCGTGCCCGCCAAGGCACGGCGTGTCCCCCCAGGGTGGGTTAAGCTCTGCCACGGCAGTCCAGGTGATGGGAAGAGGGTTGCCAAGCCCTGGGCAGGCACTGGGAGGACGCAGTGCAGCTTCCTCCTGCTCCACAACAGCATCGGGGTGTTGGCCCCCTGCCTCAGGTGGGCTGCTGCCGGCCACAGGAGGACACGAGCCACGGTACCTGTGATGTCTGTCTGCGCGTCTTCGGCCTCAGCCGCCACTGCCCTGCTCTTCCTCTCCAGCTCCTTCATCTCGGGCACGTAGAAGTCCCCTTGGCGGGCAAGGGGACACACAAAATAGATGCGGTCTTCCTTGTAGATCTCGAGCCGGGGGTGGGCGCACAGCTTCCTCTCCTGAAAGACAGAGGCAGCCCGGGCATCAGCAACCCCGGTCTCAGCGAGCTCCCGTTGGGCCCGACCTCCACAGCGGGCAGGAGCCAGGGCACAGACCCAGGGGGCAAGCGGATGGGGGGTTTTTGGGGTGCCCGCAGCTGCCTCGGGCAGACCCTGCCACATCCCATCCCCTGCCACATCCCATCCCCTGCTGCATCCCATCCCCTGCTGCATCCCATCCCGCCTCTCGGCACGGTCCTAGAGCAGGCGGAGCGCTTCCCTGCTAATTAATATAATCCAGACCCGTCAGCTCAAGCAGCTCCTTTCAGCAGCGTGAGGGCAGGGGGTGTTGGAGATGAAGCCGTGGCATTTCAGCCTCCCTCCTCCTCTGCCTCACCCTCCCTGCAGCCCAGCCTCCTGCCAGGCTCCGTGCTGCCCTGTGGCAGAGGGCAGGCAGCCTCCCGCTGGGCGAGAAGCGAGAGCATCCCTTTCAGATTTGCTCTTTTTTCTCTGCCTTTCCCCTCCTCGGGACACCCAGGACCTTTATTTCGGGCACCAGGGGCCCCCACGGAGCCCTCATTCACCGTGTCCCCAGGAGGAGGAGGATGCACTGCCGGGGCCAGCAGCGTGGGCTGGCAGCCCACACGCCCCCCCCAGAGCTCCCACTTGCAGGCAGGTGAAACACAAACCCGCACAGACCAGCACCGGGTTAAATAAAAGCAAGCCAGGCTGTTTTTAGCAGCGGAGCAGGGGCGGCTCATCTCACTCCTGCTTTTTAAGCAACAAGCCAGGCAAGAATCCTCCCTGCCGCTCTGCCCCTTGCTCCACCAACCACGAGCCCAACTTCAGAGCTTGTGGTGCTATTTTAGGTAGCTGCAACACATACCCGAGACGGATATCTCCAAGATTCGCAGGTTTTTTGGCTGCATCCAGCTGCCCCCCGCCCCCCTCAATGCAGACGGGAACAATTCAAAGGAACTCAGAGCAAAGAGGCTTTCCCTGAATTCGTTTTCCGACAGACCTAAAACCTCAGGGCAGTGGGCAGGACATCCCAAGCTGACTTCCCAAAGCACAGCCTTTCCCTACAGTTCACCTAGGCTGCTGTCACGGCCCTCCGGACTGTACAGCAAGAGCAGGGATGCCCTTCGAGCACGACCACTGTCCCTGCCATGCACTCGAAGCGCAGGAATCCTGGCACAAAGCTGCTTGTGAGAGGTCCGGGAGAGAGGTGAGGATGCTCCACAGTGCCAGGGCTGCCAGAAACGTCTGCCTGAGGATGGGAGGACGCCGGGCTTGCGGGATGGAGTGAGAAGGAGGGTGCCACGGGGACAGAGCTCCCCAGCTCCTAGGGCCAGGCCCCAGCAGCTACATCACGCTGCGGGGATCTGGGGCCTGCCACCAGCCAGGGGACATCGCCAGCACTCTGCCCCCGCCGCCGTGCGCGGGTGGGGATGAGCTCACTGCTTTCCCAGCTGCCTAATTTATGCCTTTGCAAATCAAGTTGCGATCCAGAGTAGCGTTGCCAGCCCCTGCTGCTGCACTGCTTCCCAGAGCACCCCAGCCCCTCGCAGGGCCACCCTCGACAAAGGTCCCAGAGGAGAAGCAAGGTGGCAAAGGTGAAGGCGTGAGCAGGCAGCGAGTTCGGAAAGGTTCGACTACACGGCAAAACAACCCAGAAGCTCAACAGGCAATAACACACTTCGGAGGCGAGAAGGAAGCCCCTCAGCTGACTGCGGCGAAGCCAACAGATGGAGCAGCAAGGTGGATGTGGAATCTGCGCGGCAGAGCCCTCGAGCCAGAGCAAATCCGTTCTTGCATGGGTGGAGGAGCTCAGCAAGATGCAAACAGCGAGACACTCGCAGCAGCGGGGCGGGCTTCTGGCGAGGACAGCAGGACCGGAGCAAGTAGGGCAGAGCAGGGACCGGCCTCTCCTCAAGGTCATACAGTGATGGATGTCAGCTCACCCTTCCCTCCATGGTGCCCAGGGTCCTGTCCCACCCCGGGCCGTGGTGAGGAGCTGCTCACCAGCCCCTGGGGACAAGGAACCCTCAGGGGAGGACGCCAGGGAGAAGAAACCCCCAGGCTGGGCACCAGGCTGCTGGGGGAGCTGCAGGGCTCACCTGAGCTGCTCCAGCACCATCCCACTCGCCTCTGCCCCTGCTGGGCCAGGGGCCCTGGGATGTACAGGAACAGCAAAACCGCCTGGAGCTGGGGGGCCCTAAAATCAGCCCCTAAAATTAGACCTCGAGCTCAGCACGCTGAAAGCGAGCCGCCAGCTAGCGCGGCAGGGACGGCGCGCGGTGTGCCACAGCCTCCTCCTCTCCTCACACGCTCCACGCATGGTGTGTCATCCACCACGCGTGGATCTCAGCACCACGGGGACCACCCCGCAGCGCCCCTCAACAGGACTTCTCCAGGGGGACCTTGTCTGTGCCTCAAATCACCCCAGGGAAGGGTGCAGGGGGGTTGGAGGCAGGCTCGTGGCAGCGATGCCCAGGGACAGGGCAAGTGGCAGGCACAAAGCGGAGCTCAGGAGGCTCTCTCTGAACATCAGCACACGCTGCTGTGCCATGGGGGGGACGGAGCACGGCACAGGTTGCCCCACAAGGCCATGAGTCCTTGGGGCCAGCAGCCTCCTGAACGTGGTCCTGGGCAGCGTGCGCTGGGTGGCCCTGCTGGAGCAGGGGGGCACCAGGTGGCCTCCAGGGGTCCCTTCCAACCTGAAGCACTCTGTGATCCTGTGACGTTGCTCCTCACTGGGACATCGCAGCCCGGCCCCAGCGTGGGTACAGCTCCGCTTTCCTCTCTCCCCTCCCAAGTTCTTCAGGCTGTGAGGTGTTGCAGAAAGAGGTGACACTGCCACCCAGAAAAGCCACTTCCATCCGCAGGAAGAGCGCTGCCCTCCCGGTTCCGGGACAGGCAGGCAACAAGCAGCCCCCGCGCCTCTCCGCAGCGGTGATGGGAAGAGCATTTGGACCGTGGGAGCTGCGAAATTCCCGGCTCGAGCAATGGGAGAATTTTTCATTTTCACCTCGGCAGAGGCAGCCCGCCATGCAATTTACACCTCGCCCGCCCGGCGCCTCCTGGGGCCCCAACACCGGCGGCTCCTGGCCCGGGGAACTGGGAAGGGGCTGCTGGCAGCGTGGCCAAGCTGCGAGGCACAGAATTGATCCCGTGGGGTTTTGTGGGTCCGGAGCCGGCACGCGGGGCCTCCCAGGGGTGCCGGTCACTGCTGGAAGCTGCCACGGAGCCACGAGCCCTCCTCTGCAGGATGGCTGCAGGGATGGGGAGACAGATCTGCAGACACAGACCTCCTCCTCCTCACAGCTCCTGCGGGAGAAACCCCGCAGCGCAGCCACCTCTCCCTTCTCCCCCACCACTTTCACGCGGGACTTTGGCTGTGCAAATCCACAAAACCTCTCCTCACTTGAGGAACCCGTCCTGGATTCCTCTTCCCGTCACCTTCATCGCCAGCCCTGGGTGAGGGGGGTGAGAGCACGGGGGGCGAGGACCGCAGCTGGAGGGCTGCCTCTGCTTTGGAGCACGGCTCCCCGGGGACCAGCACTCGCCTCCCAGCCCTCAGAGGATGCTTTTTCAGCATTAATCACGAAACCAAAGAAGAGGTCGGCGCGATGATCTCTGCCATCACGGATGACTGGAGCAGCGCTAAATGGCTTCGCCCGCTCTGTTGCCTTGGCGAGGCGGCCCGGAGCAGCAGCTGTGGCAATTTATCCGCCTCTTGTCAAGGCAGGGCGCTCCGCTGCCTCGTCAGGAAAGGACTCAGCACCTGAGCTGAGCCCCGGCCAACTCACAGCTGAGAGCCAGGAGGGCTCCCAACTCCCGTGGGTATTCCTGCCATGGCCCCGACCCCCGAGGATTCCTGACTCCGTGTCCTGGGCCGCCACTCCCTCGCGTGTTTGCCCTTCCTTCCACAGCAGGAACAGTCCCGGTCTGCCATTTCCAACCCTCTTGTTCGTGTCCATATGCTGGCAGGTCCTTCAGGGACTTCACCTTGCTGAACCTGCAGAGGCCCAGACCCTGGCAGTGCCGAGCAGAGCCCGAAGGCTGCTGCCTCCCAGACACACCATGGGGAGCGAAACAAGCCCTTCCCAGCCGCCTCGTTTAGAAGGCGAAGGATGCCACCAAAGAAGATCGAGCAACAGCTGTCTCCTTTTTTAGGACCGGTGTTTTAACAGCAAGCCAGGACGAGCTCCTTTCTGGATTTTTATCAGCCTCTGTAAACAAAAGAGAGGGGCATTTCCCTGCAAGGCTCCAGGAGAGCTGTGTTCAGAGCCAGGAGCTGCGTCCAAGATCTCGCACCTCTTCCCAAAAAGCTGACAGTCCAGAGAGGCCAGCAGCAAAGAGCTGGTGACCCTGGCAAGCTCCAACACAGCAAGGACTCGTGCTGGAGAGCTTGGCTAACAGCCCCAGAGCTGCCGGCCGTGTTCATGGCTCCCCCCAGGACACCCCCAATGCAATCAGTGCCGCTGGCCGAGAGCAAAAGGCACAGAGACAGGGGAGGCAGGTGCTGGAAGGCCAGGCAGAGGCAGAGTGGAGGAGACACCAAGGGAGGCTGTTTTTCAGCAGCCACGGGCAGCAGGGAGGGAGGGCGGCAGCTGCTCTGGCGGCCCCTGCAGCCTGGCTGCTTCTCCTCTGCCAGCTCAGGCTCAGGGCTTTGACTGCGCAGATCAATCAGATGAAAGGGGAGCGGCGAGGCAAGGACAGAGCCCAGCCTGACTTTGCCCTTCCGAGAGCCTGCTCCCTTCCTGCAGCTCTCCAGCCCTCCTGTGGGCGCGATGCAAACCAGCAGGGACGCAGCGGGCAGGGCCTGCAGCCCCCCAGGCTCATCTCCCCAGCTGGCCAGCGGAGAAATACCAGAGCAAAACCCGTCTCCACCACTCACCTCTCGCTAAGCCTGCCCTAGCTCCCAGCCCGGCTCTCGTGCCAGCAGATGGATCTCACCCCAAACTGTGAATCTGCGTGGCATGAGCGGCAGAGCAGCTGGCCGGAGCAGATGATGG